AGCTGTCGCCTGCCCTTGCATCTTCTTCCCTTGCCACCCCGGAGCCAGGGCCGACCCTGCCACCCCCCGCGAGGAGCAGGCCGGTGCGCGCTCGCCCGGGGCCGGCAGGACGCACTCACCACTTGTTTTTGCTTGAGGGGCTTCACGCAGAAGGTGCCGTCGGCGTGCTGGAGGGAGGAAAGCACACAAGTGAGTGCCCGCCGCCGGGGCTGGCCCGGTTCCCGGGGCGTTGGGGGCTGAGCATCCCGATCTGGGGTCTGCACGGAGCCAGGGCAACCCTGGGGACCACCACGCTGTGCGCTGGCACCAGCCCGTCCTGTAGCAATTGCAACCCCCATCTTGCCATCCAAGCGATCAACCAGCCGATTCCCCAGCGATGCCCAGCTTTTCCCAGCGCCCCGTGGCCCAGGGAGGGGCTGGGATGTCGCCCTGCCAGAGCGTGTGCAGGGAATCTCTTGCTTGGTTGAACACTTCTTAGACCAGCAAAAAAAAGTGTTCAGACCAAAAGCCTCGAAACTGGGTGCCTAAAAATCAAGGACATTGGGGATATTCCCAAAAGGCAGCAGAGCGTCAGGAACTGCCCAAAACGGCCCAAGCCAAGTAGTGCCTTCCTGAGCCTGGAAGGGAAACCAGCAGCACCGGGGACACCCTGGGCCAGCGCTTACCTTCTCGAAGGTCGCCAGCAGCACGTGACAGTGGCCAATATGCTCTGCAAGACACGAAGAGGTAGGCAGGGCTCAGAGGAAGGGCAGTTATGGTGCCCTGGGGGCTGGATCCTGGCCCCACACGGGCAGCGAGCTGCACTGGGGCTGGGGGGAAGCAGTCCCTGCTCGGCACCCGAGCAGAAGCAGCAGGTCCTGCCCCAGCATCTGCCAGCTCAGGGCCCTACAGCGCGAGGGCAGGTGCCTGCAGGAGCGTGAAGCCAGGCAAGGCAGTGCCGGAAAAGGCCAGCCCAGCAAGGAAGAGAGACCTCCCGTCTTTCCCAGCATTATCCTTACCATCTCCTTCATCCACCACAGCATGCACCACCATGGGATACACCTCCCGGTCCAGGTCAAAGCCCAGCTAGAGAGAGACAGAAGGAAGCGGTCGTTTGGAAGAAGCAACAAAAGAGGACTTACCCCACGTTCAAAACCAGCTAGCTGTCATCTGCCGAGCTGCTGGGCCTAACCCCAGAAGCACTGCCGGGCTGCTGGACACGCCAGGCAGAGCACGTCCCCGTGGGGCTGTCCCGTGGCGAGGGGCTTCCGCTACCCACCTCCGGGCTTGCAGCCGGCCGGGGTGCCCACCGGCGGCTCCACCTTTTAGGAGCATTTCCACCACCGTTTCAAACCTCTGACAGGTTCTTTCCACCTCATCCCATGCTGAGGGACAGGGCTCTCATACTGGGTCACCACCACCGATGAACTCCGACACCTTCTCCGGGCTGGCGGCAGAGCCCGTGCCCGCAACGGGGAAGGCTCGCGCACGGGGACCCCGCGGCCGCGCGGCCCGGC